GCTAGAACTACGGAAAATTCTAAGATTTTGCAGTAAAACCTAAAATTTACCAAGTTCATAAGGTAAAAGTCCGAAGTGTTCTATGGTAATAGTTTATTTCGGACTTTTACAAGCATTCACTCAGTAAATCTTAGGTTTTACCGCTAAGACACGGTAAATGTTGAAAAATAGTCATGTTTAGACGTGTTCGGCGCATTATATCTGCTACCTGTGTCACCCTCTGTTTTTAATTTGAGACTGCAACGTCTCCGGCGCTGCGGAAAGAGCAGCCTCTACGCCTTTGCGTAACAAATGGCAGGCATCCCACCTCGCCCCCGCAGCTTCGGCTCGTTGGTCGCCTTCGGCGACCAGCTTCAGGCGCTGGCTCATTCGTTGCTTACAGTTTGTTACAAAAGGCGGAGGCTGCTCCCCCTACGCGCCTCCGGCTCTATAAAAACACTCTACGGGTAGGACAGATTCGTACTAGGTGGAGTCGGGGTCAATCAATTCGGTTCTTTGACATAATTTATTAATCAATTTTGTACATGTCGGAGCGTCTATAAAATATCACTTGGATCGAGGTGGGCATGAAGGTATATCGAGAAACTCCCATTTGTTTGTGCAGTATAAAGTTCACTGTAGGTGCCGTGCGCGAGGGATTCCGCTTAAGTCATTCAACGAGTTTGGTCGTTCTGCTAGTGCTAAGATAGTGTCGTGGTTCTGTTTGTTGTTGTAATTCTTCTAGTGCAGGCAAGGAGGATTGGTGTTGCTGAGAGGCTGCCCTGTGTTAAATTGAGATAAGTAGCGTTGCTGTTGGTTTAAATATTTTGGTGTTATCATGTAATTACGTACCTCACGTTACACTGGTGTGTGATTGTGGCGGATACGTGTTACGGTGTGGTCGAACTGTAATTTCACTATACTGAATGTTTAGTGCGTTACGTTGTCTTATTACCGATAATGATTAATTGCGTAAGCACGAGAGCAAGTTGAACATCCGCTCTCACACTTTTATTATTTTTAACAGTTAACGCTATCCTGATGTATTTCCGAGATAAAAATTGGGATCCTCTGTTGTAATCTCCGACATCAGAAGTGGGATCTCCTGTTGTCATTTCCGATATACACATATTGTATTGCTTTAATTAATTCTTCGAAAACATCTTTATGCGCTATCTTTATTTTTCTTCGCCAAGAATATTCAATGAGCCAGTCTGTGAAAAAATATTGATATTTTAGAAATCGATTTGTTGTGAATCGATACATCATCTCTTTATTTCTATATTGTACTTTCAAAAAACAAGCCTCTTTGTTTTTCTATATTCTACTTTCAGAAATCACCATAAAAATGTTTTAAAATCATACAGGTAATATGATTAAATGTTAAATAAATATTCTCTACTTATATAAATAATATATTGTTTCATTTCCAAAACCAACACTTACTGGTAGTCTTTGGTTAAGCCTAGGATGTACCAAACTCTAACGGTAAAAGCGCGAAAAGTCGTCGCATTTTATATCAATCCTTACATTTACCCGCTCATGTTGGTAAATCCTAAGATATAAAAGTAAAACCTAAGATTTACCAAAATTCGGGCTTTGTCGTGAAGCGACAATTAAATACAAAAGAATCTAACCTAGTAACAGCAAAACAACAAAAATAGAACAAAAACAAATAATATATTTAAGATTTAAAAGATATTTACAATTTTATATAACAAAATGGAGTATGAAGATGAGGATGGATGTCGTGATTTACAAATTATTAAAAAAAGGTAATAAAAAAAAGAGATTAGTGTCGAAGCTGAGCCCGAAGATCCAAGGTGTACAGCAAGTGCTCTCAGCGCCTGGAACGAGCACGCACGGCGTAGGTGAGAAGGCGTGGGCGTCTCTAGGCGACGACCTCAGGTGAATGCGGTGGTTTGTAAGATCCGGCGATTTCAGGCAAGACAGGGGTTTGCAGGATCCTCAGCGACTTCAGACAGGACAGAGGCCTGCAGGATCCGGTGACTTCAGGCGGGACAGAGGTTTGCAGGATCCGGCGACTTCAGGCAGAGCAGAGACTTGTAGGATCCCGGCGACTTCAGGCAGAGCAAAGGCTTGTAGGATCCGGCGACTTCAGGCAGAGCAGAGGTTTGCAGGGTCCAGCGGCTTCAGGCAGGACAGAGGCTTGCAGGATCGCAGCGCACAAAGTCCGAAATTGCAGAGTTACGGAAAACTAAATTAAAGATCTAAAAAGGGAGACTCCATTGACACCAATTTAAAAGTGCTGATAATGTGAAAATACGAAGTAGAAATGATTTGTTATTGTGTTATTATGGTTTAAAATCGTTACAGGATCCTATGGAAATAAAGGTGATGTAAAATATACAGTTTTGAGGTGAATGCAGAAAATCGAAACAGAATGGAAAAATGAATTTAAAATAATGTAATGTAATGCATAACACTACAGCTTTTACAGTAACAAATACATTCATAATTACCTAATTAACATACACAACATAATTACATAAATACTTAACATAATTTTAGACTAAACTTTTAAATAGCTGCTACGTCACAAAGCAATCAGTTTTTGCTGAGGAGTCAAACGTAGTACAATTCTTTTACAATGGAGCGAGACCTCAAGAAACAAATTGTAAAATCTGCTACAGCTGTAAAAAGAAATGTAGAAATGATAAAAGATGCAAAAAATACAAACAGTCTGGCTTTGGAAACAATATTTAAACCTATCGTTGATCCACTTAATATGCTTACCAGAAAAACTTAGCATTTAAATGAAGATACAGACCAAGCTCAGCTTATTAAAAAACCTAAGTACAGCACAAGTGAGTCATCGATTTCTTCAAGTGATGTGTTTGAAGATCCTGTTAATAATGAAGAAAACTCAGGTAACAATGTTTATATAACATCCCACAAACCCTCAATCACTCGCTTCCTGCAGATGATAATGACGGGAATGAAATTTCGTTTAAATCATCTCAATCAATTATTGCAAATGATTCATTATCATGGACTATGTCATCTGAATTACTAAAAGATGTGCCTTATGGTGTCAGAAATGAACGTGAGAAACTAATTCTCGGCACATTTCGTGTCTATGATGATGATCACATCTTAAAAGTTGGAAATCATAGTTTGAAAAAAACTCCAGGCTTAAAAGAGTTATTGTTTAAAAAGCTACCAAATTTAGATATTGTGACAGGGGAAGATTTACTAAATTATAAATTGTTACTTTTGCATACTAATGCACACAAACGTAATTATGATCCATCTAAACCGATTAACAGTAACAAAGGATTTAAAAATATACAAGTCATCAAACCATTGTTTAAGCACTCGAGAAATCATAAAAGTAGTGCAGAAAGTCTTCCAAAGGGAGAAGGAGTTGATATTTTAAAAGAAGTTAAAAAAGATACTGATTTGGTTTACTGGAACGATCCAAACGAGTTAGTGGAACGATTAAAATTACTACTTGGATCATGGTCAGCTGGTAACACAGGTGTTTATAATGAAATTTATGCAATAATCGAAGAATTGCATGAATCTGATATCATAAAAGACATTAAATATATTAAGCTGCCTACAGGAGGATTACGCAGTGGTATTTTATTACAGAAGCCGATAAGACGGCTATGAATATAGACAAATTTGGTCATCATGTTCATAAGCGTTTACGACTATCTGAATGCTCTGATATTCTCAGTGACGCTTTAGTAAGAACAGACGCAGGTGATTTTCATTTGAAATCAACAAGATTAAAAGGACTGCAAACTCCTGAAAAAGGGGATGAGGCTGTGAATAAAGAATATGTGGATAAATGTGTTCAAGAACTTAAAAATGAAATTTTTCTCGTCAAAATACGATTATTAAAGGAATAGATGATTTATGGCAAGCTGACCTGAATGATTTTCAAAAATATTCAACGTTTAATAAAGGATATAAATATGTTCTAGTAGTAATCGAAGCTCTATCATAATACGTATGGGTTAGACCATTGAAAATGAAACATAAAAATTGTGTCAAAAATTTGATGCAAAGTTTATTATCTGAATCAAGACGAAAACCTAAAAATTTACAAACAGATCTTGGTACAGAGTTTTATAATGATTCTTTTCAGAATTTAATGAAAAATTATAATATAAATCATTATTCCGCGTACTCCGTTAAAAAGGCCTCGATTGTAGAACGAGTAATAAGAACTTTAAAAACTCACCTTTACAAAATATTCAGTCTATGCGGACGATATCAATGGTTCAAAAATAATTTAGATTTTGTTGTAAAGCGGTATAATAATAATTTACATCGCATTACAAAATTCAAGCCTATCAACGTTAATGATTCAAATGCGATTTTAGTTATGTCAAACATCAAGAAGTCTCAAAAGCCTAAGATACGTCAAGGACCGGCGTTTCACGGTGGCAATTACGTTCGTATAAGCGAATACAAAGGAGATTTTTACAAAGGTTATACCCCTAGTTGGTCTCCAGAAATATTTCGTATCGTTAAAGTCAACCAAACAAATCCTCAAACCTATCAAATAGAAGATAAACACAATCAAAAAATTCTAGGCTCTTTTTACGGTTACGAATTACAAAAAACTAAATTTCCAGACCTTTATCTTATTGAAAAAGTCATTAAAAGAAAAGGAAATAAGCTTTTGGTAAAGTGGTTAGGTTTGAGTGGTTTAGGTATATAAAAACGTATTGTTACTTAATAATCTCATTTTATACTTATCGATGAAGGAAGGCAGTGGTATAATTAATAAAGTAATAGACAATTTACCGTTTGAGTTACATTTACCCGGCTATCAATTTTGCGGCCCCGGAACGAAACTTCAAAAACGGTTACTCAAAGGCGATCGTGGGATAAACAAATTGGATGAAGCGTGCGTGCAAATTGTTCCTGATCAATAGATATACAGTTATTTTCATATTTCACTCTCATGCCTAAACACATTTTTATTTGGCCTAAATCTTTAATTTTAAATTTTGACATAAGTTTTTTCTTCAGATCATTAGTCATAGTCTTACTATTAGAAAAAATAAAGAAATCATCAACAAATATTGCAATGATAATCTGCTCATTCTTACATTTTTACTGTATAAACATGGTTCTGATACTGACTTTTTATAATCCAAATCTATCGAAAAATCATTTATTCTAGCATTCCATGCCCTAGCAGACTGCTTCAGTCCATAAACTGCTTTTTTAAGTTTAAGAACACAATTACTTGGACAATTTAAATTAGCAGGTGCTTGCATGTATACATTTTCTGTTAAAAAACCATTCAAAAATGCTGTAACTACATCAAGATGAGTGATTTCAAAATTATATTTTACACTTATTGCAAACAATAATCTAAGTGTAGAATACCTGAGACCGGGTGAGTAGGTCTCATTAAAATCTACTCCATGCTGTTGAGTGTAACCTTTCGCCACAAGTCTTGCTCTATACCTAACACTGTTATTGTTTTCTGGCTTTTTCTTGAACACCCATTTGCACTGTACTACTCTATCTGCCTCTTCTTGACTAACAATCTCCCAGGCTTGGTTATTCTCAAATGCTTGAAGTTCATCAGACATAGCCTGCTGCCACTTGTCTTTCTCTGGACCGTTGGTGGCTTCATTATAGCTTATGTCTTCAGCCCAAGATTCTGGTTCATCTGAAACACAAAGATTAGTAAAACCATATCTTTCAGGAGGTTTTTTGATACGCTTTCCCACCAATGGAGGCTCTTCATTTTCAGATAGATCTTCTTCAGTTAATGTATGATAGAACTCTCCTTCAGTTGAACTTGTGCTTTTTTCTGAATCATATACATAGGTAGGATCATCCTGATTTGTCAATGTATTGTCACTTTCCTGTTCAACTGATTGCTGTTCTTTCAACTGTCCTTCGTTTATTTCTATCTCAGTAGTATCTAGCTCCATTATAATGACATCTTTACTGGTACATATCTCTCTAGTTTCTGGGTTATATAATCGGTAATCTTTCACATTTTCCGAGTATCCTACTGAGATGTATTTAACTGCTTTCTTGTCCCACTTTAATCTTTTATTTTTAGGAACATGCGTCATTACAGGGCTCCCAAATATTCTGACATGACTGAGGTCAGGTTTATGTCCTGTCCATATCTCAATCGGAGTCTTTTGGTCCAAACCTGAAGCTGGCGATCTATTTTTTAAATATACTACCGTGTTGACTGCTTCTGCCCAAAAACTTTTATCCAGTTTGGCCTCGAACAACAAACATCTTGCACGTTCAACAATTGTCCTGTTGAATCTTTCACTAACACCATTCTGCTCCGGAGTATATGGGTTTGTCTTCTGATGGATGATTCCACTATCTTTCAGATAATTTTCCATCATATCTGAGCAAAACTCCCCTCTATTGTCAGTTCTCAATGTTTTTATTCCTGATCTTTTTTGATTCTCAACCATTCTTTGAAATTCCTTGAAATACTGTAGTCTGATTCTTCTCCTTCAAAAAATATACAAATGCCATCTTGCTGGCATCATCAACAAACAATAGAAAATATCTTGCCTGTCCAATCGATCGAACCTCCATAGGCCCACACAGATCTGAGTGAACTAAATCTAGCATTTCTGAACTTCTATGGTTTCGTAATTGAAATGGTAAACGACTCTGTTTCCCTTCACAACATACCTGGCAGTTTATTTTCTGAATATCAGCCTTCATATCAAATGATATACCCTCTACAGCACCATTTTTCATCTTCTGCAAATCATTACTGTTAATATGACCCAATCTCATATGCCACTGTTCTGCATCTGTAGTTTGAACTGCTGCGGCCAACACTTTCTCTGACTTTACTGTATTCAACTTATACACACCATTCTTTAAATTTGCTGTTGCAATAAGCTCATTCCGTTGATTATGTATATAACACACATCAGTCTTGAAAGTAACTTTGTTTCCTTTTGCTATTAGCTGGCTTAGGGTGGATTCGACCAAATGCCGTGTTACTCCAGAGTAACTAACCCTCGAATAATTTTACTCTTTGCTCTTACTCTCGGATAACTTCGTTTGCGTTTTTCCAACACAAACGTAGAGTAGCTAATACTGGGTATTGTTACTCTAGAGTTGGTGAATGAAAAATGAATGAACATGTAAGCCAACTAAAATCGAAATACAATGGTTTATATAGCGCAATGCAAGATGTTCTATCCACTTAGTTTTGCCGGATTATAATAGTGTCAACTGTCACTGAACACTAGAATATTAACACGAGTCGAGTTGTCAGTTGATTTCTTAATTTCTTATTCTTACCTTTTGAAATAAAATGTCTGCAGAAAAAAGAAAACGTAGCCCAAACTGGTTATCTTCAGAAAAAAATTTATTGTTAGAATTAGTTGAAAAACATTTTCGTGTCATTGAAAACAAGAAAACAGACGGGGTTACGATGAAGCAAAAATTGTCCGAATGGCAAATTATATCCCACGAATATAATAGTCAAACGACACACTGCTCGCGTACAGCAGAAAATTTAAAAAATGAGTGGGAATATATGAAAAAAAAGGCCAAAAAGGAAGAGTCATACAAGAGGATGCATAGAATCCAAACAGGTTAGTTTTTATCATACCTTACATTATCATTATTCGTGTTGATCCAGTTATTTATATAACTAGGCAAAAACCTATAATTTCAATAGAAATTCGGTATACATTAGAAAGATGATCTTGTAACTGGGGGAGCAACAGACTGAGCCATGCCTACATACATTTATATATTGTTAGTCACTACTGGAAACATGCTTATCGCAAAGATCTTTAGGTCATGTATCATTATTATTAAATACTTGGTAGTAAAATGATGTGTCCTGATGAAGTGATTTATTTTCTTGGTCTCCTCTATTTTCGGATTATTTTAGTTGAAATATTTTTAGAACCAACACTACTGAGATGACATACTTTAAATACTTTTACTTTAATCATTTTGTACTATTTTTAGGTGGAGGACCAGCAAATCCCAAAAAAGAAGATCCTCTTGATTCAAAAATATTATCTTTGATAAAAACAAGTGCTGTTGGGCTTTTTAACCGTTTTGACAGTGATAGCGTTGCCCCAGAAAGCTTAGAAAGCCATAATTTTTCTGAGGTTCAAGTTATTTTATCTGAGGAGCCAGAATTATGTAGTAAAGGTTAGTATCTTGCAGTTTAGTTAAGCATCCTAGAGAAACTAAACAAAATTGTTATGACTTTAATCTTCTTCTTCTTAAAAAACATTAATATTTGGTTACAGATCTTGAAACTGACACTGATGAGATTCAAAAGACTAGGATTGACTTGAATGAAGTAGAAATGCAGGTAAAATCATAACACATTAATAATATCTGTAGCCCTATACCTTTACCTGAAGTAAATTATAGTATATAGTAAATATAAACATAAGTTTTATAACTCTACTACTATGTGTACGTGGTAGAGCCATGCTGCAGCTATATTAATAGTATAGTTGTAGCACGAATGGGTCGGCTCAACGTGGGAAGGACTACACTCTCACAGAATACCAGCGTAAAATAGCAGCTTAATGCTGCTGTTTTTCGTATGGTGAGTGTAGAGAATCGGAGACCTTTTTTACTGGAAAAGAGGCATTCTATCGTAGTCCTCACGGCTGACAATGCATCTACATTTTAATTTGCAAACGAAGATAGATGTAGAATTTTTTTTATTTAATAGGGGGCATACAAGCATGTAACTCACCTGATGGTAAGCGTTGCCCATGAACAACTGCAATACCAGAGGAATTGCAGATGCATTGTGGGCCTTTTAAAACGGATTGGCCCTCTGGCCTCCTGCACTAACCAAGCCCTACGCAGAAGCAAAGCTTCTACTTCAAGCTGGTATTCTGTAAAGTCATGGTAGTTATATGGTTCGAGCCGGCCCATCCATGCAACAGCAGAAGCTGCAGTTTCGCTCTACTACTGTGTGATAAAATATAATATTGGCATTATATTATTTACATTTTTATTCTTTGTTTTAGGATTGGAGTGATTATACTCCTAAAATGTTAAGAACTCCTGTTGCTACACCACTTCAATACGATACTAATGAGCAAGAATTAAAAAAATCTTGGTCTTCAAGAAGGCGACCGACATATGTAGCTTCAACATCATCACTGCAAAAGTTGCATGAGAAGAAAATTGAAGCAATTGATCTCCAGAAGAGTGTTGCTGAGAAGGAATCACTACATTTAAACGCAGTTAACGATCTGGACTTACAAATAAAAAGGGAGCAATTGAATTAGAGACTATAGTAAAGAAAACATGAAAAAATTCAATCAATGCTTAAAATCACTCACTTTTAACGAAGTTTACAATACGACTGATCCAAATTATGCATTTGATTATTTTCACGAATTATTCATCTTATTTTATAATCTATGTTTTCCATTTATATTAATAAAAAGAGCACCTCGGAAGAAACCTTCCTGGATATCGAAAGGTATAAGAATATGTTCAAAACAAAAAAGAAATTTACTTTGGCAATATAGAAAACATCCGACTACACACAACAGAAATTTGTTCAAATGTTACACAAAACGTTTAAACAAAATAATAAAGTTAACACAAAGGGCACAGAATGATTATAAAATCAAAACAGCTTCAAACAAATCTAAAGTTACTTGGTCAATCATCAATTATAATAACAGGAATGTGATTAAAGAGGAAATCAGACATATCAATAATAATGGAGTGATCACTGATGACCCCAAAGATATCGCAGAGTTATTTAACAATTACTTCATAAATGGAAATGACAGTAATATAAGAGCAATGAATATTAACTCCAAAGTACCGAATTCTTATAACTCATTATTTATGAACCCAACTACTCCTTTCGATATTAATAATATAATTAAGTCATTAAATAATACAAATAGCACAGGTTATGATGACGTTAGCACAAAGGTATTACAAAATGTATCAACCATCATCTCATCCGTTTTATCCTACATCATAAATTTAAGTATAGCCTCTGGAATATTCCCAAATAAATTAAAAAAAACGGTAGTTAAACCTATATTTAAGAAAAAAGACAAGAGTGATGTTGCAAATTATAGACCCATAGCACTCATACCGATATTCTCTAAAATTTTTGAAAAGGTAATAAGTCACAACCTTAATGATTTCTTTGAAAAATATAAAATATTCACAGAGTATATGGATTTAACTAAAGCTTTTGACTATGTTAATCACAGTATCCTCTTAAGTAAACTAGAAGCATACGGAGTCCGAGGAAATGTCCTCAATCTCATAAAAACATACTTAATAAATAGACAACAATGTACACAAATTACCCGTATATGCTCAAAAACGTATAGACAAATAGTTTACTCATCCTCATATCGCGAAGTAACTCAAGGAGTACCCCAGGGAAGTATTCTTGGTCCATTGTTATTCCTTGTTTATATAAACGATTTACCAAATTATATAAATCAAGATATGGTACTATTTGCAGACGATAGCACAGTGATGTTTACAAGCACAAGCAAAAATCAAATGATATCTGATATAAATCAAACATTAGACATAATAATTCAATGGTTATCAAATAATAATTTATTAATTAATCTAAATAAAACAAATCTAATGACATTTAGAAACGTGAAAAATAATTTAATAAATATTAATATTTGCTACAACGAACAAGAAATTAATGTAGTCGAAAATGCAAAATTTTTAGGCCTCAATCTCGATTCAAACTTAAAATGGAAATCTCAAGTGGAAGATATTTGTACTAAACTCAATCGGTTCTCTTATGCTCTATATAGACTTGGAACAATTGTGAATCAATCTGCCGTCATCACTGCGTACCACGGTTATGTAGAATCGGTGTTAAGGTATGGTGTCATCTTTTGGGGTAACTCTGTAGATAATGAAATGATATTTAGAGCCCAAAAAAGATGTGTAAGAGCCATTGTGAAGTTAAAACAGACAGATAGTTGTAAACCATTTTTTATTAGTCTGAAACTGTTAACACTTCCGTGCCTTTATATATATGAGATAGCCGTTTTTGTTACTACGCATATTTCTTTATTTGAGTGCCTACACAGTAAACGTAATAATCAAAAAATATGTTTTCCATCAAACAACACAGCCCAATTTAACAACAGTGTATTTTGTATGGCCCCTAGAATTTATAACCATTTACCATTACACATTTTGAGATGCTCCAATATAGATAAGTTTAAAATACTATTGAAGCAATTTCTTCTTAATAAGGCATACTACAGTGTGAAAGAATATCTCGAAGACAAATATGAAATTCAATAATTGACTGTTACATGACTGAGAATAACTAAATTGACTTGACTTATACAATATTATCTAAATTGACTTATCGCTATTATTTTTGATTTTGTATCATGTTAATTCCAATTTTAACTAGAGTATGTTTAAGTAATTTAATATAAAAGTAATAAAATGTGATGGACATTGCATGCCAAATGGCGGAATATAGCTGTACTAAATGTTTGTTCTATAAGTGATAAATTATGTAAACACCAACTGTATCAACCTATATTCGCAATAAACGATTTGAATTTGAAAAAAAAAAAATTGAAACAAGAAAAATTAAAGACCCGTATTTTATTATTAGATTTAAGATTAAAGAAAAAGCAATTGCGAAAAGACCAATAAAATATTAGACTTATTTATTTCAACTTTTATTTTATACTACTTTTCTTTTTTTATAATTTGTATAATATAAAATTAGATTTGGAATCACAGCGATCAACTGGCTAGATTCCATAGCTACAATAAACTATAAAAATAATTACTTATTAACGAATTGCGTGCTAACTGGCCAGTAGAATGCTGTGCTGATTCCAAGCTCTGCATTTGGCCAAGTTGTAACAGTTCATCCCATGGAGCTGGTAATAGCACTTCTGGGTCATCAGGTGGAAGTTGTTCCCCTTGCCTGCGTAACATATTGTGAAGGACAGCTGTGGCTATGATAATAGTTAGTGCTTTTTCTAATTTTACTCGCATGCCAAGTGCCAATACTGGGAATCGTCTTTTCCATACACCATAGGTCCTTTCTATAGCATTCCTGGTACGAATTTGTGATTCATTGTACAGTTGCTCAGCTGGTGTCCTTGGATTTTCTAACGGAGTCATGGTATAATTCTTTGCAGCATATCCTCTGTCTACCAATAATAACGCATTGCCATAGCGACCAGTCTCAAAATGTGCTTTCCGCACGCTGTTATTAAATATAGTGCTGTCATGAGTTGAAGTATATAGTATGTCGGTTATTTCTAAATTGGCATTGCATATAGTTTGCACATTAATAGAGTAGTATCCTTTTCGGTTTCTAAATGTCTCTGCTTGTTCTCCACCTACTTCGAGTCTTAAGGGTACGAATGTGAGGCGAATGTGTGTACAGTCCATTGCTCCAACTACTCTTGGAAAACGAGCAATTTGGTAAAATTTATCTTGTTCGTGTCTTATTTCTTGAGTTGATTCAGGAAATTTTATGTACTCTGTATGCAATGCAGCAATTGCAGCACTAACTCTGTGTACAATTTTATTTGCTGTCGGCGTACTTAAACCACAGTAATCTCCAATGCTTGTTTGTGTCCAGTTTGTTGCATAATATCTCAAAGTGGCCAACAACTGATTTACTGGAGATATTGAGAAATTTCTGAAAGAAAAGGAACTTTATGTAACATAGGTACAACTACTACTATAGAATATATTTTAGTTTTAAATCTTTGAGCATAGTTTTTCGAAAAAATGATATCTAGGTATAGGTGGGTACATACCGGTTTGATGAATATTCCAGGTGATGCTCGATTTTGGATAAAAGACACAAAGTAGCTTCTTTGGACAATCGAAACCTTATTGCAAAGTCACGGTCGTCATAGTTATCGAAGTAATTGTTCCTTTCTCTAATCCATCGTGGACGCCTTGGAATGTATTCTTCATCACTGTCTGAATCTTCGATCATATTTCGTAAACGTTGCATTATTTAAAAAAATATCCCTACAATTATCACAAAAATACAAGAAATAGTAAATACACAACGATAAAATACCCTACTTTTTACTAAATTATATAAATGCACAACGATAAAATATCCTACTTTTTCAACAGAGCACACAAAAACAGCTGTTATAATGTAGCGGCCGCCATTAAAATACACTGGGATAAATTGTTTACTCGACAAATTTTGGCGGTATAGCAATTTACTTCCGGATAACCAGTTATACCTGGGTTAAGATTTGGTAAAACGAAAGTTCTCTAACTCGAGAGTAATTAGTGATTTTATTCTCAGGATAAGACTTATACTAAGTTTGGTCGAATCCGCCCTTACTGATAATAAGTTTGTGGTTAGGTTAGGTATGTACAAAATGTTGTTCACTTTAATGTCAAACTGAGAATTATTCACAAGCGTAGTTATCTGTGTATTCCCGGCACACACAACTGGCACAGTCATATTATTTGCAACAATAATTTTATTCATATCGTGTACTTTTCTCACTTCCATTAAATTTTCTCTGCATGATGTCATATGAGTACTAGCCCCCGAGTCAATATACCAATCATCCTTATTAAATTCACTATTAAAAAATGCAGCACTAAATGCGTTAACTTGCTTTTCTTTTACTTCAGGACACTGGTTTTTAAAGTGGCCAATTTTCCTGCACTTATAGCATTTTATAACCTTCTTGACATTTGACGTATAATTTGACGTTTGTTTCCCGCCTTTTGTATTCAAATTTTGACCGAACTTACTTTTATGCTTCGACAATAATGCTACTTCGAGTCATGGTTACCGACTTCAGAACTCATATCAAGCAATTTCGTTTTGATGACATCAGATTTTATGGCTATGCCGGAATGTTCTATTGCCATGATCATTGGGGCAAACTTTTCTGGTAGTCCCGCCAACAGCAATGATCCAATCCATTCCTCATTAATCTCGAATCCTGTGCCTTTCAGTCTTTGTGCAGTTTCCACAATTTGACTCATGTAACTTGTCATGGACTCACAATTATCAAGTCGAATGAATATTAATGTTCTTAGTAAACTGATTTTTCTGGTGAATCCGCTGTCATCAAATAATCTCCGTAGTTTCTGCCATAAATACTTAACTTTAGTTTCAGTTTTTATATGAACATACAACTTCGGATCAATCGTCATGATGAGTTTTGCTTTCGCTTTTCTGTCTTCAACATCACTTAAATCCTCAGGAATGGCGTCGATGTCTATACCTTCCAATATGAGAAAATTTCTTGCC